GTACAAATGTGCAAACATGAAAAACCGTTTCAACATTCAAGCCATACATTTGCATGTCGATATTGACTTATCTATGATTATGGTACAACACTAAATCCGCCATTTGTTGTGGACACGTTTATTCCGTAGACAGGGCAGCTCCTTTCCTTTATTTTTTCCATCCTCTATGATCCGTACACGGCGCGCGGCGGTCGTGCACGCGCCGTTACGTTTGTATGGAGTTAAACTACTTGTCATTTTTATACTATGCTAAAAGTCAATAATTCATATAGGAAGCTCACTTATGCCGCCATTTTGTATTTTCAATCATTCAATTAATTGTTCTCTTATAAAATTTTTCATTTGCTAACTATGAGAACTGTAACACATTGCCTTGTGTTTTAAACTGTGTAATTGATAGTTCATACAAGAATTGATTTTTTGTATTGTACAGTGGGGATATTTGGATTATTGGTGGGCTCGTTGGGATTTCAGGACGATAGCGTTTATTTCTATAATACATATTTACGAGGGTGGCGGTTTGATAAATAGGTAGGTACGTGATTTTGTTTAAATAAAAATTAAAAAATTAAAAGTTTTTCGTAATTTATTTTTATTTCTTAATTTAGAACTCTTTACTGGCGTTACATAACGATATAAAAAAATAGTAATTAAAAAAGTTAGGTGGGTTCAACGATATCTATGTATACTGGCGTAATAGATGCGGCGCGTTCCATTCACACGCTGTTTCACTGATGTACGGTGAAGACGCTGCACATCATTTAGTTGGTTGTCAAACATTCAAGATGGCGGACGTAGATGCGGTCCTCGTTATAAATATTAATTTACACTCTTTCAGTCTTTATGTCTTCAATTATGTCTAAAATAATGACTACCACCTCAGTCAACCGTGGCTATGGGACCTGTAAAGGGCCCGAAACGTTAGTTTGTTTGGAAAAACAAATATACGCGATATAAATCCGGAAAAATAGTTTCATTTGCTATGTTTAACAATCGCGAAAACCTAACTCGATATATAACATAAATGCTACTTAGGTAAAGTTTCTTTTTATAATATTATGTGCCGGGACGAACAAGTCTTGTTGCACACATGCACATGACCTCCTGTCTTGAACTGTACAAAACCCCTGAAAACATCCCGCTTTCTTTACCAGATCACCTCAAAAATCAAGAATGCTATCCAATTTTATGTCATTTCGTAAGCAGCACTATCGAAGACATTTAATTATTGTAATGGAATTCAAGAAAGAAATTACCCTGTCTTCGCTGTATGGCGCATTAGTGCCTTTGCCTTCTCCAATGGAAAAAACAGTACCATAAAAAAAAGATAAGATACCCAAGCTGTTATTAACACTTAATACTCCATTATTACCTTACAAATACATATTTATAACTATTTTTGTAAATTTACCTACATAATTAGATATTTTGTAATATTATGAACGAATTCGGCGGAAAAAACGCGGTCGTGTACTCGTGGCAAGAAAAATACATAAAAATACAGCGTACATGGAGTTTGTAATGAATTTTAATTAGTCACGATTGTTAGGTGTCTGTACCTTTGAACTCTGTTATGATGCCATTGTTGATGCCGTTGTGAAATATAATTTTTTTACAATAGAGTAGCAAAAATGATACATCACAATGGAATAGAACTGATTTACTATACAGGTACAATATATACAAAAATGGCGTGGTAGCCCAATGGTTTCCACAAAATGGTTTAGTCAAAGTCAAAGTCAAAATAATCTTCTTAAATATGAGTTTTTACCGTTGTTTTACACTTGAAAACGTAATTTTTTAAACCACTGCTTGTTCACTACGCTTACCTCCCTGAGAAGAACGAGCAAGAACCTCTAGTAATTGCTCTTTTCAAATAAACTTAAATGCTATAGAATACATTTTGAATCATATTAGTGTGGAATCTAAAGTCACGTTGTCTTTCTATACATCTTTATCTAACACGTAGTCTACAATTTTGTAATACAACTTTTCAATTAAAATACTTTTAATGTAAGTTTTAAACTCAGGAAATGGTAATCTTAATAATGCTCCGGAATCTTATTGTAAAAACGTATACAGTTTTCCATAAAAGAATCATTTATCTTAGTTAAACGAAAACGTGGTACCATGAGTTTGGACCTTAGATTTATTATGGATATCTTCTTTCCTAACGAAATTAAGTACATTTTTACTAAATATTTGAGTACATGTACTGTGATGCTACAGTCATGATACCTGTCTACTTAAACTTTTCTCTGAGAGAAATCCGAGAACCTAAACGGTGCACAGAACGAATCGTTCGTTTTTGCAACACAAATATGGTTTGTACCATATATCTGCCGCTTTACCCCACATGAGAATTCCATAGGACATTATACTACGGAAGTAACTAAAATAAACTTGTTTAGCAGTAGCAACATCGGTAAGCTCACGTACTCTATGGACTGCGTATGCAGCAGAGCTTAATCTGCTGGATGTGGAAAACCACTGGGGTTTACTATCTAAGGTCACTCCCAAAAAGACAGCTTTATTAACAAGGACTAACTTTTCTACATATATTTCTATGATTGGGTTAGTCGATTTTACCATGAGCTTATCGGTGAAGAAAAACCATATCAAAAGAACTAAAAGGTTTGGTTCTCTATCGCACAGTTGACAAACTTTCAAAACGAGGCGTGAAGGCAACTTCTAGGCTTGCAAGGTGGAGGTTTGCTAGGGCAGTGATTGTATCAACACTTGTTTCTTCACGTTTGGATTCCATTTTCCATATCAAATGAGGTGGAACGGAATCATTTGCCTATTATGTATAAAAAAATGTTTCTTCACAGTGAAGGAAGTCATCTTGATTTTGAATCCTGCGAATTTTCGATAATATAAAGTCACCAATCCTTGACCAGCGACAGCGTGATCATCTTATACCCTCTCTTTTACACTTTGTAACAAGAAAACATAATTTTTTATAATAACGGCGCATCCTTTATCTGCAATACTGCAGCAATGAGCGGTTACAAACACCGTGTGTAGTGCCGGCCAATGAGAAGCGAGTACGCCGCAGGCGGGTCACGATTCGATGGATTCCATATTTGAAAAATACGTTTCGAATCATTGTTTCTTTTTCTGAAATTCTTTTTTTGAATTATATTATGTATTTTATGGCCAGTATTGAACATAAATCTATTTTAGGTACTTAGCACAGAACATGTAAGTTTTGTAATTATATATAGTGATTTGAATAGCAAATTTATTTACTTCCATTTTAATAAAAAAATAAAATAAAATCGCTTTTATTCGGCAAAACCACATAACCCATAAACAATTTAGAGAAAGAAATTAAAGAAAGTAACATATTGTAGCAGTAGAGCTCCTTGTGAAAGAGTTCGTCCAGGGAAGTACTGCCACCTTACATGTTTCTGCCACCAAGCAGTAATGTGAGCATTACTGCGTTTCGGTTTTGAAGTGGGTGCTGGTGAAATTAAAGGCACATGAGACTTATTTTAAAGCTCTGTGGCACTGCAACTGTTATGGACAGGCGTGTGGCTTACCATCAGGCGCACAACTTGTTTGTCCCGTCTCTTGTTACGATACAAAAACATAGAAAAAACTTTGAAACGAAATCACCAACAAATTTCTGAAGTTGTTATTGTTAGAGATCAGCATGCCGTATATTTACAAGTTAAATAAGACACAGAGTCGATAACACCTCTCTCTGAAATTCCAGAATGATTAAAAAAGGACAAATGATATTTTTTTTTCTTTTGAAATACTGTGGTGAAATGACAATTAACCTCTGTGGCTCAACGGCTTGTAGGTACTAAGAGGAGGTCTCGAGTTAGATTTCCGGTGAGATTAATTTGGGGAAATGAAATTTCTACATTTTTCCTAGTCTGGGTGTGTTCCAGGGTGAATTATTTTTCTCTGATACTCATTAAATAGGCAATTCCTTAGTTTGAGACGAGGCAATTTGTGTGGTTAGTCTGGCACATTATTATTATTATTATCCTGTCGTAGTAAAGTATTCTGAAATTACAGGCACGTGGGACTTGTCAATTTATGTCTGAGGATGACTAGAGCAGTGGCAGTGCCCCTCAGATCTTTGCGTATTACAGGCCAGAGTGGCACTGCGACTGTTACGGACAGGCGTATCGCTTACCACCAATTATACATCAATATTTTAAAGCAAATCACCACCAAATTACTATTAAATAATTCCAGGTTACAATAATATAGTTTCAGAAGGAGATTTTGTAACCTTTGAAATTAAAGTAATATTTAACTTCCGACGCTCATTTTTATGGCAGAGCTAGGGCGTAGGTATCCCTTAGTACAACAATTATGACCACAACAAGAAATATGAATGAATATAAAAACAAGAAATATGACCCAATTTTCAAAGGATTTAATGGGTATCAAAACACTTTGTTTTTTGTTAATCATAATTTATAGCTCAAATCGATAATTAATCAAAACCACATCCCTTAATTTCATGATTAAAAAACAAAAATCTTCAATCAATCAAAGTTCTAACATTTTTGTGGGCAATTTTGGAATTATTAAAAAACGAAACCTATTTTTATTCCGATGACCATAAAGCATCATACTTGATATCTCGTAGACGCAATAAATATGATTCAAAATATGCCTTGTGTTCTGAAAAATTAGGAATAGTGTTGGGAAAACGATAACAGATACTTTTTTATTTACCAGTATTATATATTGTAGTAGCAGTGAAATGTTTAGTAGCAGTAGAGCTCGCTGTGAAAGAGTTCGTCCAGGGAAGTTCTACCACCTTACCTTTTCTGCCGCCAAGCAGTAATTTGAGCATTACTGCGTTCCGGTTTTGAAGGGTAAAGGTGCTGGAGAAATTACAGGTGGGACTTAGATCTTTGCAATTTAAAGCTCTGAGTGGCACTTCAACTGATGTTGGACTTGGACAGGCGTGTAACTTGCCACTAGGCAAGTAAGCTTTTTTTTTATTACCCGAGGGAATCTGCTTACAGATACCCCGACCCTGCGAGGGCAGAGCCGGGGCTATGTGGGACTGGGTTAAACCCTGAAGGGGAGCCCGACCGCACCAAACCCCCTGGGTGTTCCTCCATTCCGTTGCAAGTAGAGGCACGGGTACGCTATCGCTCGTCCGCGCCACCACCAGCGGCTGGCCGTGCCCAGCGCTGCCCCTCCCCGAGAAGGGGGACACAACGGTCCCCCGACTTCAAATGTAAAGCTCGCCGAACACCAGACGAGCCTTCCATCTCGGGCCCCTCCATGCTGGGCAGCGAACTCCTCCGAGTCCGCTACCCAGGGGCCATGGGGCCAGGACAACATCCCCTCAACTGTGAATTTCAGTGGACGCTCCCCCAGTCTCCGCGGCGGATGTGTTGGTAGGCTCCGCCGCAACACCTTACGCGCATCCACGTGGACTCTCCGTAGTCTCCGAGTCCTTTGGAGCGCCCACCGCACCGACCAATCGCCCAAATTCGGCCGCGCAGGACAGTACGAGCGGCAACGACACACCGACACGTCTCTGCCCCCGCGGCCCCACCGCCACTGCATCTGCACCCTAAGCGGTTCAGCCCCGCCAGGGTTGCGGAGGATAGGACGAGCGGCAAAAATATACCGATACGTCTCTTCCCTCGCGACTCTCCTCCCCGCATGCGTCCACGCGGACCCGTTCGGCCTAGATTAAGACGAGCCCGCGCGGTACTCTTAGCTTCACCGTGAGATGAAATCGACCACGGCTGCTAGAGCCCCCCCGCCACGAAGCCTAAGACTAACTGCTTAAGCCTAGACTGAGCAATAATTTATTTATTACTGTATAGTTTGTAAAATAAATGAAACTTGAAATTTTGAGTTAAAATTCAAAATTTGGTCCAAACAAAATATGATTATGTTTACTAAAGCTCTTATGGATTCACTGGTTAATCAAAATGATGGGCAAAATAATTAAAATTCGTTATAACAATATTGATACCTTTAGTATAATTGTATGCACATTTTCTAAATGTTTTTCTTTTCTTAATTAGAAAAAGATACAGAAAATGTGCACACAACATAAAGCTAACTGGTTCTATAATAACAAATTTACAAAACGCGTTGTAATAGAAATGAATTGTCTATGGACACATTTTTTTTAAATTTATTTATCTTTTAAAACGTAATGCACAACAATGTTTCTGGTCGCATTATAAACTACTAAGGTTCGTAGTAACGCGTACTGCATCCACACAATACATATGTTCAATTTGCTAACAGAAAAGTTTTGCTAATATTTAAGTAATTTGCATAAAATAATCTATCATTAACCAAAAGGATTATACAGAAATTGGATAAATAAATTTAGAAACAATCAATTTTATCGCAATTGATTAAGCTGTTTACAAAGTAATTTTTAAGTTTTCTTTTTATATTAGTGGTTGTTAAAGAATTACATAATTCTAGCGGTAACTCCTTTATTAGTCGGGGAATAAGGTAGGTAGAAGTTCTCTCAAGTTCAAAGTTCTTTCATCTGCTAGCGAAGATTTAGTTTTTGAATACACATAGATATTATGAAGTTTTTATACATAGATATATATTCATGCCTTGGGATTTTCATTGGGCAAGGGTCGATCGCCACTATTATAATATGTACGTAAAATTTACAGTGACGTGGATGCTCTAAAAGTGTCACTCTTTTTATATAACTGTCTGTTATTTGAACGGCACAATACCAAAAATAAAATCGCATGTATATATCAATTAATACAGCGACTCTAGGAGCGTGTAAATGGTGATATAAATGTTTTGTCGCCAAATTAGCATCTTTCGTATTATAAAAATTTATAAAAGATTTAATTCTAACTAATTGGTAATTTTAATTAAATTTAAATAATTTCTAATACATACTTTCTTACTTAGCAACAGCAATAATAGTTACTTAGTAATTTCCCATCTCTATTTAGAAATGTACGGTAAATCAATCAGTCGTGGCGAGTCGGTGATTACGCCGTTACCGCAGGGGTAGTCGATTCGATGCCTGGCTGGGCCCGCATCAATCAAAACTTCTCTGTTTTTACTGTGATTTACAAATTCTAGAAGGCGCATTGTTATTATGTGCTTGCTTTATGTATTTAGGTTTATGTATTAGGGGACTAACAGTTTAGTGGATCTAGATAAAAGTAAAATGGCTGCTCTAGACAGTCGTCTTCAATAAGTTACAAATTCATTTAAGGGGCAATGTTTCTATAAGATTATGGTTGATATTCAAAATTTGCCATAAGGTTGAAAACTATAGTGAAAGAAAAACTTTATACTAAAGGTTTATTATACAGCCTCTACGTACTTGGATGACAAAAATTCCTGGAGACCCGTTTTTTGCAGCTTTTGCAGGTTGTCTCGATCTATGATATTTTTTAAATAAATATTGTAAATGATAAATATATTGGTACAAATCGCACCTCTTATGGAAGAATGGCATAAGTGGAGTTACGTTAAAGATGTTTATAAATTAGATACAGAAAAATATAACTCATATCCTCTCCAATTCTTATAACTGTATCTACAATATTAGTCGGTAGAGTTACAACAATTGGAGAGGATGTGAATTATACTTTTCTGTATTTAATGAAGCAATAAACGTTTTTTACGTAACTCCACTTATGTCATTCTTCCATAAGGGGTGCGAAATATTTATCTACAAAGAGCAACCCTAGAGTTTCTTGCTCATTCTTCTCAGGGGAATCTGCCTTACGAATTAACAGTAGAGTTTAATCGAAGTGACAACCACAAGTGCAATTTGCTTACCTATGAAATAAGGATTATTTGAATTTGAGAAGGTTTTTAGTTTGATTTCTTTCCACGTCTCATTTTCTGTCTAAACTTCTTGCTCTTTTAACTGATAGGATTCGACCGAACCCACTTTGTTAGATATAGCCCCCACGCCAATTTCTTCCTCAAAGCAGTATGAGTTCCCGACTGTAGGGTGCCGGAGACTTCTGTTTTTCTTACGCCCCATTGCCATCTGAAAACTGTGAAAAAGTTCATAATACCTATACTGAATCTCCTTTTGTGGTATAATGAACTTTTGTAGAGATGTTTCTTTCGAAGAAATTGTTGTATTATTTTTATTTGTCGTCGTTGTATTTCAACAAATGAGAGAACCGTCTTTGATGATTATTTTCTTATTGGAAAGAGGGTACCTCAGTATTGATCCCAATTAAATATGAAGAAAATATTCCACCCCTAAAGGAAGAATCCGGTTTCGCGCAATTTCCGGTAACCGATTTCAATAAAACTTGGCAAATGGGTGTAATTCCACGAACTTTTGAGGTCGGTTTTTTGACGATCATATTACCCTTTGAGGTGTCTCCCAGTGTGCGCCATTTCGCACGGTCCCCAGCTTGATGCATCCATCTGCTACCAGCAGCGATTCGTCATTCCATCAGCGTCCTGATTTTGATTCAAACCGGAATCGACCCGATCGGGTAGTCTCGAAATCAGATGGGTTTCTGAGCGAGAAGATGAACCTGATTCCTACTATATCTTTCTAATTTGTGAGCTATATCAACTATTGTTCCGATTAGAAATGTTAAAAGTTTCCGATCGACTCGACCAGTTGTGAATCGCAATTATACGCCTCGACTCGGAAGAGACGCAGTTTCCGATCAAGGGAGGCAATCAAAATCAAGCTGCTGGTCAGATAGCTTTGTAAATTGACCGTTAAATGCTATAGGTACTTAGGTGATCGTCAAATACAAGAAATGCTCGAGCAAAATAGTCCATTTTTGTCACATTAAATACGTAATATTTTCACATTAAATAATTGTGATTACCTACCAGAACATAATTTAAAACTTGAAACTTCATTCATTAAAGCTTTTAAAATTTAAAATGACGTTGTATTTGTTATAAGCATTTTATGTATCTAGTTTTAATAACTTTCTGTTCTCTAACCCTAAAATATGCGACTACCATTTAGGAACAGAGTGTGATTTTCTAGAAAAGTCAATGTGACGTCATCAATATTTGACCAAAACTCATAGAGCACATTGAGCAATTGACAATTTTTGTGGTGGTGGAGGTTGACAATTTCTTGTTTAAGTGGGCGGTGATCTAACAAGTTTGGGAACCTATGATGTAGACTGAAGTGGAGACGAAGGTTCTGGTTTATCATTTGCAACTCTCTCAGATTTGCAGATGGTATTGATGATCCCCTGCCCGCATTGTACGGTCTCACCCGTCTGGGGGTACGAGTCAAGCGCACCTTCCCTCTTTAGCGCGGGAACCCTGGCGCAAACCGGGACATGTTGTAGTGGTGAATCTGTGGGATTCCTTGGCGTCCACAACACTCGGTCAAGAGAGTAAGCCGGAGGGTTTTAATGGGCATGCCCTCCGCCTGGAAGCTTAGTCCCAGATAACCCTTGACACTCCCCGGGATCGAGGGTATAAAGCATTTACCTCCGTGTATCTAAAATAGTTGTCTCTCGGATAGCAAAAATTTTATTGACGAAGGTATTTTCAATCAAAACAAGACAATAGTTATTTGTTATGCAAGGTTGCAAAGTTGTTATTTGAAGCAAGTGCTTTTACTGAAACCTGAACAAGCGAAGGATTCAAAAATAGAATCCTGAGCTTAGCGAGGGTTTCAGGACACGAGACACAAAATTACTTTGCTTCCGAGCGAAACACATACTTTTCACCTCACTATAGCGAGGAAAATGGTAGATCAAAGAAAAACAGTTGAACTATAATAACAAAATCAGTTTTATTCATTCTATATCAAAAATAATGTAATAATCTCAGTACAGAGTGCTAAAAAATCGACCTCAAAAGTCACTCATCCCTTAGTTTGCCACCCTTAGAGGTGGAATATTTTTTTAAATTTTAACTACTACTGATGTACTCTCTTTCCAACAAAAAAAGAATCATTAATATCGGTTCAGAAATACCGCAGTTATCGCGTAACAAACATATTAAAAAAACATACAGTTGAATTTTGAACGTCCTTCTTTTTTTGAAGTCGGTTAATAAACAAAATTAGATATCGTTGTCAATTTAATGTCAACGGGTTTATATCACATACCTGTAATGTACGACAAATGGCGTAGTTGAACGTGTCATTATGTTTTTATTTTCATTTAAAGAAAAAGTTAGGTACTCCTACAGTCCATAGTCAAGTTCGAATTTCAAAAATCTTTTCCATGATAGCGTGGAAAAAAAACTTTTGCGCGCAGATTTCTAATGAGAAAGAAAGCCTTTCCGAGCTAGTGAGGTGAAAAAGACATTTTCATTACCGACTGTCAATCTTGTTATATTAAGATATTGTCATTCACTACAAAACCTGGCTATACATACGTTTTTATATCTATCACACTTAATAAAAATGGTGCCATAACCATGCTATAAAGGGCGGTTATATAAGTGAGCCGGTAATTATTCACTACTAATACATAAGACCGTATGTCTGTCTGTCCGTCGACTAATTGCGGTCTGCCATTGGTTGATTACAGAGTTCGATTCTTCGGTTCTCACGGTGGACGTGTAGGGGTTAGTATGGTGGTTATAGTTTCATAAATATCGTGGACATGTC